TTCCTCTTCCCCCCCCACACCACCACCTTGCTCCTCTCGTGATTGTTCAGCCCGGGCTCAGTGGGTACCATTCTCGCCCCCCGAGTCAGAAGGTTGTGGGTTCAAGCCCTCACGTTAGGACTTGGAATCCGTACCATCTCGTTTAAAAATTCTGTATTGTTTGAGAAGGGCGTTTCTCTCGCTCACTGCTCCGGCCGACAATCCCCCCCGCATCCCTCACGCCCCACAGAAAATTGGTCAACCACTTTTTGGGCTGTTTGTGGGACGTTGCTGTGTGCAAATTGGCGGCCGCTTTCGCCCACAAAGCACAGTCACTGCGTCGCACTTAAAAGCACATCCTGCGTAGGCCATTGAGACGTCTCATTCACGTGATGAGGTGCTGCGTCAAACGCAGAGGTATATTGAGAAAGGTCGACGATCTTCCCTGCGAATATTCTTAGCCAAAGAATTGGGGCGGGGTTTTCAGGTGAAAGAGAAATAGAAAGTTCGCTCTGCAAACGCACAAACTTCTCTCCAACCGTCAGCAGAAAACTCACCCAGGACCGTGAGGCGAACGCAATCAATGTGTGACACCAACAGAATGTTATGTTAATTCTTTCAAATGCGGTCTTGTTTCTTTGTTTGAGAGATCAAAACGCCCGGAAAAGTTAGAATTTATATAAGATTGGCATCGCTCCCCTAAGGTGTTTTCGGGGATACACCTGCTCTATTCACGCTGCGAGGCCCGTCAGTCAGGACCCCAGAGAGCGAACCTCCCCTTCTCTTTTCGAGAGCTCTTATTGTTCAACTGAACGAGGCACAGACGGGGATGCAAGACAGACGATTCTTTTATCAAGGGATTGAGAGGGTATCGACAGTGTCAATTAGCTTGGGATATCCGGCAGGTAAACAGTTGCCTTGTGAGGTCGATGGTCATCGACAGGCAAACACGGTTGAAGAGTCGGGAGTTGATTTGCATTATATTTCTATGGAAGTAACACTAGACGTTTTGATCCCATGTGTAGAGGTCAGTGTAAAAGGGAATCAATGTACTGATCCCCTGATAAGATTGCTGTTGTGCTCCTGCTATCCACTGGGCATTAATACATAAATATTTAATGGCACTGAAATATCACTCGGGTTCAGCCCAAGCAGCTGGCGATACCGGTTTTTTTTTCTGTGCTGGGCTACGGTTGGATGGGTGGTGGCTAATGCCTTGGGGAGCGTTGGCAAGTGGGCACTCTTCACGTGTGCACCAAATAAGAGAGAGGCTCAGCGAGTTATTTGTGCATCTTTACCATCCCATTCCAATACTCCCCCCACGCCGCCCACCCCCCCCCCCCACACACACACACATACAACCACACACACACAACCACACACCTTCCAAGTACCGGTGCCCAGTTAAAAACAATCATTCTCCCTCCTTCCTTTGGGCGCAAAGAGCCTTAGCCTTTGCGGCCACACAACAACTCAGAACCAAGGATTTGCATCAGGAGACCCTCAGTCTGTCTGTCGTGAGTGGAGTTTATTGCACCGATGCGTTACGTTAGTTTTTGTGGCAAAGGGAGAGGAAATATATATATATATACACACACATACACACACGATTCCCCTCCTCCTCCTACACACACACACACATATGTGCGCGTACAATAGACTCCGAGCAAAACATTTCCCGCTGTTGGTCCCATCGACTCGCAAAGAAAGGCAGCAAATTAGTCAAAGGAGAAACTGGAGGGCACGGTACGAATACCAAGTCGCTGCTTGTTATTATCAGGACTGAAGCAGGCAAGGAAACCAGATGCAGATTTTCAACAGCGGCTGCTGTTGTATTTCGAGCGAAAAGCTCGACGGCAGCTCCCCCTGCAGGAAGTGAACAGTTCATTAATATACGCAGCCTCTAAGGGCAAGGAACGATAATCCCTCCAAAAAAACAAAACAAAATAATAAAAAATGGTCATTTTCAATCCACGGCTGTTTGCGGGGACGCTGCTGTGCGCAATTGGCTGCCGCGTTCGCCCACAAATATACGGTCAATTCACTTCACAGTCTATTCTGTGAAGCGCTTTGGGACGTCGAGAAGAAGTGAAAAGCGCTATATCAAATGCGAGGATTATTATTATTATTATTCGGTGTAGCGACATTCTTCTCTGAGCTGGGATACACTTAAGAGATAAACCAGGGGTTTGGATGAAAGCCATAAAAGATAATAATAATAATTGCCTTTGAAACAGCGCCTTTCACGTCAAGGGATTTTAACTGTAAAGTGCAGTATTTTGCAGGCGACGTGGCAGCCAATTCTCACGCAGTGACACCCATCATTTGATCTCGTCCTTACCGAACACCCACCCAACCATCGTCCCAATCCAGTCAGCGGAGATCAATAATATCCCTTCAAACTAATCACCCGAGCAACAAAGTTGTCAATCAAATTCACTGGCGAGGAGGTTAGGTTAGTTTGTTAAAGTAGAAGTGGCTTTATATATATATATATATATATATATATATAAGTATTTGTCTCAGGACTATCACATCCTTGCTAAGACTTGATTGTCGCCTTTTTTCCGCTTATTCTGAATAAAATACTCGGAGGCAATTATTCCAGTCGATTATATGCAGAAATAAATTGGGTTAAGTGACGAATTATTCAAAAACAAACCTTGCATCTTTGTGAAACTTGAGGAGCATACTGATGTTATTACTGGCAACATGATAATAAATTATAATAATTAAAGCTCATTTATAAACACACAGAGGGATGATTAAGAAATAAACCTCCCCCGAAACTCCAAAATTAATTCACCTACTTAAAAAGAAAAGTTGGAAGGTACAGCTGTTGTGCTGCTTTATTTTAACCCAACAGTGATTGATTTATTCATGTTGAATTGTAATATATAATTTAATTATCTTTGCATTTGACACAGGCCTCATCGCGTCGTCTCAAAGCGCTTTGCGCGATTTTTTTTTCCGCCCTAAAGTGTAACCACTTGCAAATAAGGTTAATTGGAGAATGTTTACCCCGCACGGAAACCCAACCACTCCACTCCAAGCACAGAGGTTGTGCTTTCGAGCACCATGTGCAATTATATTTCTCTGGAAAGGCATTCACCAAAAGGAATGCCTTACAAACCCATCAGCGAGAGTCCGTGCAGCACGTGGCAATTGAAATCACCCCTCGTGTACGTCAATCAAGATGTCCGGTCCGGAAATACGACCGGTAAGAATCCAATGCGTTTCCTCCAGCACTTTGGATGTGCGGAGTGACTGCATTTTGCAGGCGGACTCAGCGATCTATTTCGGAAGTTGGGCAGCAACTTGAAGGAAAGTTGAGCTCTTCGACAAAAAAAAAGTTTGTATGCGGAGCTCGAGTTAAAGGAAAATTGAGGCGTCCGTTGGCATCACGTCTGGCATCTTGTTCGTGCAGGCAGTAAATGTTGTGAAGCCCTTTTGAGACGTCTCAACGTCATGGTAAGGCGCTGTATCAAATGCATGGAGTATTATTATTATTATTATGAGGCGCCTCACACTCCTACTCATAAAGGGAGGCTGTATAAACACAAGTTGTTGCTGGTGGTGGTGTAATGGTCCCCGACGTGTGGATGAGGGAGGGCAGCTTGGCACTGTGTGGCTTGCCTCGCTGATGCACGTGTTTAAAAACTAAATTGATAAGCAGCGGGGGAAGCAAAGTGGCGTCTTGAAAGAAAGGGGTCGGGCTGTTAAGCTGAACAACGAACAGCTCTGTGTAAGAGGATCAGTCGCCGGATAATGTGTTGTGATCTGTGCATCTGGTATGTCGATGGAGCCCGCCCGAGGTGACTGAACAATAAGCAGCCGCGGAAAATGAAGACCATCTCCTGCGCTGTCAAAACATTCAGATCAGCTTATGACAGAAACCAGGGCAAATTGGAAGCAACACACAGACGTCAAACCAGCGAGATTAGATTAACTGTCTGCCGAAACAATCTACTTAAGGACTTCTCAAGACCTGTCTTGTTGACCAGGCTTCAGTCATCTTGCCCTCACCAACACAGCCCCCACACCAACTCCTCCAGCTCGGGCGCCCAGCCTGTAAACCCTCTGGGACGTACTCAGACAGGCCGCTCCGACGCATCAACTAGAGACCAAAATGCTTTACGCTGCGTCAAATTGGTCATTCACTGCGTGGGACGGACACTGCTGTGCGCTAATTGGCTGCCGCGTTCTCCGACCTACAAAATAGTCACTAAACGACACAAAATATACAGTCACTCCACTGCACAGTACATCCTGTGAAGCGCTTTGAGGCGTCTCAATGACGTGATTAGGCGCTACGTCAAATGCAAGGATTATTATTACTACTGCTGGTTATTATTACACCTCAGTGTAGTACGCAAAGCTGTAACTCACTGCAGGACGTACAGATCAGTCATCTCAAATCTAAACAAACAGGTCCCATTCCCTCCTAATCTTAACCAATATTCCGATCATACATCAAATAAAATCTCAGCGTGCACAAGCAACTTGCCCATGGCTGCAGTCAATCTTTCCCTTCACGTTAATGGCGTGGGAGTGCAGGGTCATTGCGCCTCGCTGTAAGTAATACTATCTGACGCAGAACCACACAGGAAGACAGGCCGAACGGCTCAAGAGAAATTGAACCGTGCGTCAGCCTGGCTCAAGTCAGTCGGTGGCACTCTCGCCTCAAGAGTCAGAAGGTTGCGGGTTCGAACTACCACTTCGGGACTTTGAACTCACAAGAAGGGAATAAAATGATTTCATTTAAGTGATATGAAGGCAGGTCTAGTCATTGCATTTGTACCTTCGGAGTCCTGGTGTTTGGATGGGGAAGGAAGGTGGGGGAAGAGAAAGGGTCCAGAATAAAGTCAGTCCAATGTGGGCTTTCTGCCCCAAGAGAAAGTGCTACCAACTGATCCAGACTGAGGTATAGTGTTTTAAGTATTGCAAACTAGCAAGTCTTAAATGTACAAAGGATTTAACACAGCGCATTAGTTCAGGGACAGTAAAAACATAAATACAAGTTAAGATTGGCACTGCATTTTTTATTATAAAGAACATTGGTTTGGTCCTTTGTAAAACTCTTTATACCATTGTATATTCCAGGAAAATAAAACCTATAGTTAATTTCTCTATAATACAAAGTGTATTGCACATTGATTCTGGTAAACATCGACAGCAAGAGTATTGTTCTGTATAACAGTATTAAACATCCAGCATTGAGTAAATACTTTTATCTGTAAGAAAATAGTTTTTTTTTTAAAAAAGAGGGTTTATCTTGCCAACATTTCACAAGATAAGGAAAACGCACTGTGCTCTTGTAAATCCTCTGCGATGGAACCCAGATTGATTTACCTATCGAAGGCGTGGTCGGGACACAAAACCTGAAAAACGCAACACTTTTTGGGGGGAATATTAAGGCTCGTGTTGGGCATTTCCACTGCACACATGATAGGTTTCTTACGCAAATCTTTCTCGTGGTTCAGGCTCCCAATTCCTCTCTGCGGAAGGGCACAGTAAGGGTGGGCTTGTAGCAGGAGCCCACCCCGACAATAGTACGGCATTAACCACTTCAACAAAAATTCACGTAGGGCACAGGGGGGGGGAAAAAAAAATGGTGAATTGGTGTGGCGTGACTTGGTTGGGGAAGTGAAAGCAAGGTGAGTGATCAGACAGACAGACTCCAGCAATAGTATTGTGTTAAGGGGGGAGGGGGGTACAAAAGATCGACTGAAAGCCTTAAATAGCTCGGAGTGAGGTTGGTGCTCTACATACTAATCCAGGACCCCGCATTTTAAATCAGGTGATTAAGCACTTAGTCCCACCAACAAAATGCATTGATAGGAGAGAGATGTTATGCACTTCAACCTGATACATCTCCCTTATTTGTGGCTCGGTTTCGCTGGATAATTACAGGAAACAGGCCCGGGCGAAGGGAAGGAAGGAAAAGGGAAGCTGAAGGGAAACCACACAAACAAAATCTTGAAGTGGTACAACACCAAGTGGTATAAAACCGGGTGAGCCATGATTTCACACATGGGCGAGTCCCAATCACTGCCAACGTAAGGGAAACACCTAGGCTCTAAATTCTAAACTCTCATGTTTTCCTCCTCTCCCTTTGGCCATCCAAAATGGATGGCCAGAACAGACGCCCAAATGATAATACAGTGTGAACGATCGACTCCACTGCCGTTGGTGAAAGTGGCGAAAGCTGAAACATTCACCATTTTGCACAGGTGCCTGATCTGGATTGGAGAAAAAGTGCCAATGGCACAAAGTAATGCAAGCAAAAAAGACTTGGGAGCTGCTCACCAGGAAGCCCATGGATTTGGAAAACAGACTAAAGCCGGGGCCGTTTGGTATCCACGTGTCTCATAACACGCATCGCACGAGTGATGAGTTTACGAGCAAAGTTCCAAGCTGGTCCGAATATCTTGCTTGGTCGAGGAGAACTAGTCTCTAACTTTGTAGCTTGTGTTTGGATCACACACAGAGAATTACATTTACTCAGCACTTTAACTTAAAGTTTTTGTTAATGTTGTTCTATCCCTGAAGCTCGCCGAATTTTTAAAAAATCATTTAATCATTTGACTGCGAAAACCTAATTCGTCCCATTCAAAAAAAACTGGTGATATCTGAACAGCAACACGGGATGGTTTCAATGATGAAAAGCAGTTTGGACGATCATTAATAAGGAGGAGGTCTGAGAATAGGCTTCCAAGCCGCGGTGGTACATGTGGAGGAGAATTATTTCTTCCCTTGCCCCTTTCCACCTCACTCCAACACTCATCCCAGCACCTTTATCTGTGCAAAACACATTCATCGCATCAAAACGAATCAACCTGCCAAAGAGAGGCCACAAGAAAGAGGCAAAACCAGAAGTCACAGGCAATATATGGCACAATTCCATGATCATAAAGCACAAGCATATTTCACAGCGACATTCTGGTCCTCCTCGCTCCCAGTTACATCTGCCCCAGCCGTCTACAAGTACAGCCAACGACATTTTAAATGACCCAAGCTGTCCGCGCTGGACAAGCTATCAATAATAAAAATAATATGTGGATGCCTACACACTAGAGGTCACCAGCAGGTAATGATTTTTTTGGCACATAGTCCAGCGGTTATTAAGTATTCCTGTCACATCTAGTGTCAGATTAAACCGGCTCTATCTTTTTCTACACGAGCATCCTGCCAACACTCTCTTTCCATTAAATATTCGACAAGAGAGGAGAGCGAGTGGGTGAAGGTGGAAGAGGGGTTGCCACGAAGGAAGACAGTTTCATGTGTCTCATGGTCCAGTCTCATATATAGTAAAGCACACAGGTTAAAGTGCTCAAACTCATCACCACCTCTTCTCTCACCTCACCCCGCCACCCGTTCTCATTTCCAGGTAGAAAATTCAGATTTCAATAGTTCTTATTCAAATATACATTAAAAAAAAATTCTAAATGTGCCGTGCTCTGCCGCTATTTGAAATTACTATATATTAAAGGCAAACTACACAGCAAGTGTCCGGTAATGCATTTAAACAAGGAATAGGAAGTTGAACTGGAGAGGTACATTTTGTATCCTTGCAAGGAGCCCCTGCGAGTATTCCTTTGCCTTCATAGAAGACATTTTGCGTAACCCTGCCACCTTCAGGTTACAGGTTTCCTTCTTTCTGCACAGGAGCAGAAAGTTAAACGCAACATGAAACACGGTAGGGGTGGCAGAATGTGCCAGAAAGATTCCTCAGTTTTCCAGGTGCGAGTACAAACCCTAATAAATAATCCTCAACACGTTGAGACACAAAGGCAATTGCATAGCTGAAGGTTATATCCCTGTACGTTTTTCTCTTGTGTGTGTGTGAGCCATTATAGATGTCCGTTTAAACGAGTCCCACCATCTGGTCAATCTGCCGCATGTAAATTCCTTTCAAAGGCAGCGCAAACCTCCGCTCACTAGAGACCCGACTGCACTGTGGAAACATCGGAGAGAGAATCAGTTTCTGAGAATGGGAGGGGGGGGGGCGGGAATTAATCACAGTCACATCCCGGGTAAAGCAAAACAAGGCAGCTTGCGAGGACGTTTGCCAAAAGCAACCAAGCCTCCTGTTTTAAAGCTAGTTTATTTTCCTACATCCGTGTCAAACTGTGCATGTTTTGATGCAACGTACAGTGTGTTAAGAAGAATCAGCACCCTCCACATCTACAAAACACAGGCGGCTGCGTTTATGCAATGGATTTCCACTCCCAGAAATTCTGCAGATCTAAACTGCTACCAGTTCTGCATTTGGGCAGGAGTTGGCAGTAAGTGGTGATTTCACTCCCACTGACTGTTACTGGCCCAGGACACCCTGCATTGCCAGGAGAGTTGTAGTCTACGACAGCATTAGAATCAATAATTTTCATCTCCACAAAAGAACTGCAAGAGCACACAGTCCCAATGCCATAAAATGGATGTGCTACTACATTCCAGGCATTTGCTTAATGCTGAGGATATTGGCTAAGTTACTCAAGCGCTCTGAGACACTACCCTACGTGGAGGGCACTATATAAGTGCAAGTAGTTGTTGCTGTTACTTGAATAACTTCAAAGAGGGTAAAGGGCTGAACAGAATCACCAGGATCAAGAACTTTCAGGTCCCTAGTCCAGTAATTAACCAACCAACCAACTCCAGTGAAGCGGTTTGAAACTGGGCTTTTCAACTGCAGCTTAAAGGATTCCAGAAAACTAGTCTTGAAACTACCTTAATGGTATCAATCGTTCCGTAAGCAGAAGTACGGCCCCGATGTTAACGGCAGGTATGCCTGAGCACACAATGTAAATGTACACATGTTGAAACAGCCATTCCTTGCTTACATTGATACTCGAGTTCGCAGGCCTGTAGTCCACCTCAGAGTTAGCGAAGGTATCTTCCTCCTTGGGAAAGACATCTTGCCAAGGCTTCTCTCTGAACAGCTTAATCACTGGCAAAATGTGGCCCTCTGTTGTGAATATGTATTTGCTCCCAGATCTGTGCAATGGGTTGTCTTCATCAAATAGCTGATTAACATGTGCGAATACATAAGAAACAGGAATAAGTCAAGTGTCTCACTCGCACATTGAAACATTAGCAGTGAACAACCTAATTTAGGCTGGTCTCAAGTCTTCTGCGTTCCTTCAGACCCAATTGATCTTACAATTTACGTAGTCAATTTGCTTTTGTAGTGCACACATGTTAAACAAATCTCCAGTCTTATATCTTATTCCTCTAATAATTCCAATCACAGGATCCGAAACTCAACAAAACCAACAGAAGAGACCATCACGGAAATTTCAGCGACAAAACGAATACGGAAATTCAATCCCAAGAAGCAGAATTCAAACAAGAAAAAATTCCAAACAAGGAAACCAACAGAAAGAATAACCGAAACAACATAACAGTTAAGGTTGCAGAACACTTGTGCTTATGAAACATTCAAGCTGGGTTGGCGTTAGGCATTCGAACTCATTTGCAATCAGTCATCCGTTCTTCTTTACATGATGAGCAGATTGTTGGCTCTCATTAAAATTAGATTTCACTTATATAGAAAAACAGTGCTAGAGAAAACCTACCAAGTATAAATATTTACAAGTCTCGCTGAGAAAGAAGCTCTCCATTCGGTCTTCTTTTGACTTCTCTATTACGTGATGAAGGGTGGCGTAACCACATCTGTTTAGAAATGGGAGAGAAAGCTGTAAGCTCAGAGTTAATGAGAAACCATTAACCAGTGACAGAAAAATGCCAGTTTTTACAACAACTGAATTATATCTGCCTCTCTGCATCAGCATTTAAAGACAGCATATTTTAACATTTTTTTAAAAACAAACAAAAAATTAAACAGAAATGTGCTTCAGAAATAAGTCAACAGTTTTATAGGTCTAATTGCAAGAAACTTTGCTTACAAATATTTGAACTCGTTAGAACACGGAAAGGATGCAAATGTGATTTTAAAGCTAGCTTGGTAAGTTACAAAAACATCTAGAATTTAAAAATTTTAAAAAGTGCCATTTTTCTTTTCGTCACAAACTGATCGAGTTGGTATAAACGGGCTACAATATTCCAAAATGAACTTATAACCAAACGGAACGTTTCCTGGACACTGTGAATACAAAGATCCGCAGAGGAGTCTATTTTGGAATCACTGAGGTTTCCCAAAGTAAGGTTGGATCGTTGCCTTTTTAGACAGATGGCAAGCATGCAAATTGTTTAGCTTGGGTTTTTGAGCAATGGTCCCCTTAGGGTGCTGACCTGACTTTGGTGTATTTCTCCAGACTCTCCAGGATGTCCATTCCAACGTGCAAGTAGAACGGGTTTTTCGTTGCCTGAGCATGAACCACAGACATAGGATCAGCCACATTTCTACGCGACAGACAAACCAGTAATATTCAACTTCAGTGTAGGAGACGGTGGAAGAAATCCCAGGCCACTGAAGTGTTGATAGGATACAACAGGTTGCGCACTCTATGCTAAACATTTCAACCGTCACTGTCACTAGATTATAACAATCGTAACATTTGATACAGCGCCTTTCACTGTGGGAAGACAACCCAAAGAGCTTCATAAGATACGCCATAAATTATGGTGACAGTGCATTTTTGTCATCTGTGTCAGCCTCTCACACAATGCCAGACACTTGCCACAGTGTCAATCAACTGTGGACGAAAACTCGAAACATCAGGACACACTGCTTCAGCGACTGCTTTTTATTTAATGTGTGGAGACTTTGTCACTGTTAGTACATACCTGATACAGCAGATATGTAGATTCCACTAATTCAGGCCTCAATGGGTAAAACATCACATCAGGTGCTTGAAGCTGCCAGTTGTATCTCTCTGGAAGGGCCCCGAAGCGCTTCCATATGGCATAATAAAAGGCATGAAGACAAATGGCATCTTCTACATCACCCATTAAAACCTGAAATGAAGCAGTGCCAATTTGCATCAGGAAAAAGCGATCCTTGCACTTTGGGACCCGACCAGACATTTGGTAATTCTGCCCCCATCCACCGCCCCACTCCTCCCCGGACTCCACATCTCCTACTCATTTTTTTAAAAAAAAATCAACGTACCTGAAGTCCAGGAAAAAACGCTTGTAGTGAATCAATCCACGTGTTCATTATTTCGCCGTTAAACATGTTAACGTTGACGTACAGCGGGGGATCGCCCTCTCCTTCGTTGCAGGCTTCGCGACTACCAGTTTTTAAAAAGAATAATAATTTTTAATTATTGGGCATTAATAAGCTGAAGAGCCGACAAAATCAAATTCCCTACGCCTTGGCATTTGGCTCTGCTCCTACTTCTCAGAACAACACCCCAGCCTCACCCAGCCTGTTAATCCATTCCAAGACATTAGAAAATTGTGCTCCAGTAAACCCCACTACAAGTGAGGCAGCAATGGCACTTCAAAAAGCGTAGTTAAATACAATACAAGTCCCAAGTTAAAAAACACATACCCCCTCCTGAGGTGATTCTGAATACTTTCATACACAGCGTTAAACATCTCCAAGTCTTCACTGTCCCCGAAAAGTATGTAAGATTTCAGAAGATACTCGTAGAAAGAGTCCATGCCAGCTCCCAATCCACTCTGCTTCCCCACCCAGTCGCCGGTTTGAATGTTTACCACGTTCCCTGCACAAGAGGATAAAAGCAAGCATGTCAGTGCGTCATAACAAATCAGCCTTAACATCAAAGAAATGCTCAAGTCCAAAGTTACTCAGCGTTAAAGAGTGCTCAGTGCACTGAGGAGCTATGTCAGTCCCACTTTTCTCCAGTTAGTTTAACAGCGAATTTTGAGCTTTCAGAAAGGAAACGTGAAGGCATGATGATAGAAGCAGAAACGGAAGATGGCCACCAGTTAAGTACCGTACCTAGGAGTCCTGTCTCATTGCTTCGGAGATTCCACAGGGCCCTGACAGCTCGCCGAGCTACCCACTCAAACGTGGAATCCCCAATGAGGTGGCTCAAGATCCCAAACTCCACCAGCAAAGAGCCCGCCCCAGCTGTGCAGGTCTCGTTAACGCAATTCGAAGGCACTCCTTTCTTTAGGTTCACCTGCAGAGATTTCACAGAGCAATGTGCTTTACTTCAAAACAGTTATTTCCTCTTGTACTCCAACATTGCAAAAAAAAAAAAATCAATAAGTTAGTGGATAATTAATTAAACCATCAAAACACATCCAAAGAATCGATCGCTTACTTATAAACTCAAACGGGTTTCACTTTTGAAATCAGTTCCAGGTTCCATTTAACAAGCTGACGCAGTTTTTACTAATCTTTCACAAAAACTCGCGTTAGCTTCTGCCCTTACCTCGTCTTTTCTCAAGACAATGTAAAACACAGTGCTTGTTCTTCTTAGCCGAAGCTACTACTGCAGACGGGGGCTACTGCGCGTCATTTGTCCTGACTTAAAACACCTGTCAATATAGCAGGGACATATGTTCATTTTGCACGCATCGCACTGATCCCAAGACAATCATTCAACCTTTTTTTTTAAACTTAAAAAAAAGTAGTTAAAAAGCTGAAAACCTACAACCAAGTTTCTTTAAAAAATCATATAACGGATAGTCTATTTTTGCATCATAAAAGATAGCATCTTAAAATACATAAACACTATGAACATAAAAATTAAAAACACCCACTTTTACCTAACGCATATGTTGCTATTGCACATTATTACAGCCATCCTGGACAATTTCCTCTCAGGAAGGTCATGGATGGAAGAGGGAAGAGATATGAGCCAGTCATTGGGCCACAAGTGAAACAGGGAGAAGGGTCATATCATAACAATTGGAATAACAATTTAGCTAAACTCCTGACACCTCACGTACCCGAGGATGGGGAATCCCAGTTTTGGTGTTCTCAAAGGCAGGCAGCAATCGGACAGCCAGGTCGTGTGCCAGGTGAAGCAGCTCATTGTCATAGCCCTCTGGTACCATGTTCCCAAAGGGCTGAACGGGGTCTGTTATGATCATGTGGGCAGATAATAAGCTTCCCAAAATCCTACCAGGAAGAGAGTCAGTCGTTAGTGGAACAACACAATAATTTTTGAGTACAAAATAAAGCGCTTTGAGATGTCTTGAAGGCATGATAAGGTGTTATATCAAATGCAAGGATTATTATTATAATTAAGATATTTTCCTGAAAAACCTCTTCCAAACCATTTATACTGCTACGTTTGCTATATCTAGAATCAAGGTTCGTAAAATTGATGTTTTAAATTGCTTTGAACTCATTGTTTGCTATTTCAGAGTGACAGACAGACACCCTTTCAGGGCAAGACCTCCTTTACTCTGTAACTGATCAGTATCTGTCCTTATAGAATCATAGAATTGTACAGCACCAAAAGAGGCCATTTGGCCCATCGAGTCTGTGTGGCTCGTTGATTAGAGCAATTAATGTCAATTCCACTCCCCAGCCTTTTCCCCATAACCCTGCAAACCCGTCCTCCTCAAATACCCGTCCACCGCGTTTTTAAAAGTAGTTATCGAATCGGCCTCGAACGCCCTTTCAGGCAATGCGTTCCAGATTCGAACAACTCGCCGCATAAAAAAAATTCTTCTCACCTCCCCTCGGCTTCTTTTAGAGACTATTTTGAATCTGTGACCTCGAGTCACTGACACACCCACCAGTGGAAACAGTTTTTCCCTTTCTAACCCATCAAACCCCTCATGATTTTGAAGACCTCTATTAGGTCTCCTCGTAACCTTCTCTGCTCCAATGAGAATAATCCCGGCCTCTCTCGAGCCTTTCCTCATAATCAAGGTCCCTCATTCCTGGTACCATCCTCGTAAATCTCCTCTGCACCCTTTCCAATGCCTTAACATCCTTCCTATAGTGTGGTGCCCAGAACCGGGCGCAGTATTCTAACTGAGGCCAAACCAGTGTTTTATATCGGTTAATCATAACCTCCTGACTCTTGTACTCTATGCCCCTATTTATAAAGCCTAGTATCCCATATGCCCTTTTTACAGCTTTATCTACCTGTCCGGCCACCTTCAAGGATTCATTTACCTGCACCCCCAGGTCTCTCTGTTCTTTTACCCCCCTTAAGATTGTATTACCAGCCTGTATTGCCTCCCCTCATTCTTTCTCCACATTGAAACTCATCTGTCATGTGTCGCCCATTTTACCATTCTGTCTATGTCTTCCTGCAGTCGGCTCCTATCCTTCTCACTGTTTACCACCCTACCTAACTTTGTGTCGTCCGCAAACTTGGAGATGGAGCTTGCTATACCCAAGTCCAGTTCATTTATGTATATTAAGAAGAGCAGTGGTCCTAATACCGATCCCTGGGGGACGCCACTGTACACTTCCCTCCAGTCAGAAAAGCAGCCGTTCACCACAACTCTCTCCTTTCTGTCTTCCAGCCTGTTCTGGATCCGCTGCCACTCTCCTTTTTATACCATGGGCTTCTGTCTTTCTTACAAGTCTTTCATGTGGCACTTTGTCAAATGCCTTTTGAAAGTCCATATAAACCTTAGATGGTTCCTTGTCTCTTTCCATATGCACTCTGAATCTAATGATGTTATGACCACTATTACCCAGACGCTCTCACACTGAAACCTGCTCCACTTGTCCTACTTCATTCCCCAGAGCTAGATCCAGCACTGCGTCCTTCCTTGTTGGGCTGGAAACGTACTGATCAAGAAAGTTGTCCATGTATTTTGAAGCATATACAGAGATGTCTGTGGCTTACCTTATCGTTGCCTCAAAGACTTGAACAGTTGAATCTTTATCAAAAGAAACCGTGGCTATCACCAGGTTCACTGCTCTCTTGAACTCCGAAGCATTGCCCAAAACCTGTAGTGAGAGCAACAAACTACTGCTAGCTATATGTGCAAAGGATCTGTATGCTTATAAATGAATACGTTTGTACATTTAGCATTAACCTTACTGCAAAGGCCGTCAAAGCTCTGCTGCAAAATGGAACAACAAGCAGCAAAGGCGTTAAATTATCTTTCATCTTGATCGCAGGACATTCATTTCAATTGACGAATGTTAACTGTAAATTCACAAACACTTTGCCAAACGTAGAACAGGTACATTTCACTGAAGTCACAATTTTGCTTGTCAGACATATTAAACAGTGGGACCCAATATTGAAAAGCATCTTCTCAAATTTTGACTAAAATATACAAGTCCCCAATGAGCTGGGTTTTGTTAACCATTCAGCACCAGAATTTGCAGTATAAATGGGGTTGGACGAGGGCTGAACTATGCTCTGAACACTTTTGGAAGAGGTGTTTCAGGAGCAACATCATTCAGACTTGCTGGAGTAACAGCAAGCAGCTCAATTAAACTTCTTGGGAACTTTCAACTAAGTGGATACACTCCCAGAAGTTCAACTGGATCATTAACAGAAAGTTGCAGATTGCCAGTGCAATGTGCAGCAACGCAAACAAGAGCCACTGATGTCATCCACCATAAAAACAAACTTTACAGACGTTACTTTGAACCTGTTAGGCACTCAAGGGCATCCTCATTCTTGTCAGGGAGAAAGATTTCTAATCTGTTTACTACTCTTACAAAAGTTTAGCAAAATAAAAAAAAAACTCTTTTGTACTCATAGTGCAAGAGTGCTGGATGAAACGGATTTCAGTCGCGTTTCCCACAGGTTTGATCAATAAAACAAAGCTGCTCGCAAGAATCAATCAATTAAATAGCTTGCGATCACAGGTGTTCCTCCTTCTAATCCCAGGTGTTTTCAAGAGGTCACACAACAGGCAAACACTTCCTACCCTAAGATCCGGTTTCCAGCTAGCTGTCTGCCTGCCAGGTTAATGTCACAACACTGGTTTACATGCTTCAATGACTCTTGCAAAATAATCAAGGCACGTAACATACTGTACAAGCTATGGTTGATATATTATGTGGGTCTAGCCCAAGTCAAATCGTACAGTACTTCTGCAAGTTATACAAAGATACACAATAAAGAAAATGAAACATTCCTGAAAACGTGCTGAGGCGAGTTTGGAGCAAGCACATTTAGGAAGTGCAAAAAGAACTTGAGAAAATGCACATTTTCCAATTACTAAACTACTGAAATATCCTCCAGCTTAATATCTAAAGAGCTGCCACTACATGATCCAGGGCTCTCTGGTGCATTCAGGAAACTCATGTGCCAATGGTTGACTGACTCCAGGAAAAAAATTGCATAAAGTACTTCAACAACTTGCCTTCCAGATTGCTGTGGAATCAGATTTACATACAAAATAGAAATCCTCGCTCGAATCACATTTGCCTTAGTAAATGGTTGAAAAGATTTGGCTTTAATTGATCTCGGGAGAATAAATTAGTCTTGAAACAGATTAACTGGAAAATACTTTAAAATATCAGAGGATTATCTGAAAGTGACAACAAGATTATAATGCTCTTGTTTCAACTCAGATTTTCAGGCCAAAAAACCATATAACCATGGCAGTGTGATTTAAGGATTAGATTCCTGATGGAATTGCAATGCGATTCAGATACTCCCCATCTTCTGCAAGAATGCCTGAAGTCCATAACTGGAGTTGCAATATGGCATATATGTAACTGCCTAAACTGGCAATAGCCGTCCAGAATGAAGACCTCATGACATTCCAGAATGCACTGAAACTATCTTAATTACTACGATCAGTCCAAACACTCCACGACCAGACTGCTGGACGGGCACACATTTAGATGTACTGATGAGAAGGCTGAGAGAAGTAGACTGCACACTATGAAAAGTTCTTTAAAACTCCCAAACACCCGGGCTCTGTTCTGTACGAGAGATCGTAGATTAATGTAAACCCTGAAGATTAATGTCGTAGCCCCGCTGGTGCAAATGAGCAACCTCTAACCCATTTGGTTCATGCACATGTCCTTACTAATAAGGAAGGACATGAAGCAGATTGACACACAAATCTAGCTTTCTTGTCATTACCATAAACTTGTGGAACTAAAGAGAGACATCTTATTTCACAAGTTTTTACAACGTCATTGTCACTGACGAGAATTGCTTTGATTAAATTGGTGTGTAACAACATGAACTTGGACAGGCAAGTTCTGTAACCAAGATATATTAGCTACAAGAAAAGAATGATACAAGACCTGTTGAGCTAAATAATTACAAAATAATCAAAACAACTGGTTACTTACCGCTAATGTATCAAGCGCATCGATCAGAGTTAAAGAATAGTTTCCAAGGACATCGTTAATGTTTATGTTTGAACTAAAAAGAGAAAGAAAATCAGTGTTAAGTATACCTAGATCAAATGAAAACAGAAATATAATTGGAATCAGGAACAGTAATGGAGTAATGGAAAATCAAACATCTTTGACATTGTTATTTTAAGTAAGTTACCTACATGCAGCTTAATTGTAGACTCACAATGCACTGTATTTTAATAACATTTTTTTAAAAAAAGTCCCGTGTTTCATACTGATGAAAATGTGCCTGAAGCCCTGCATTAAAAGAAATGTAGTAAAAGACGTTAACAATCCAATTTAAGCAATTAAGATTTTATTTAAATCATATACACATAGTTGTGTTGTATGGTGTGTATGTTTTTTTAAAAAAACATGCAAGAGTGGAGGAAGGGTAGAGAGTGAGCAAACTGAGCGTTTCATTACAAAAACAATCGCTTGAATTAAATCTGGTTGCAAAACTTCCTTATTTTTCATAAAACCAAAAAGTACAACACAGTACTCAATGTCAACACTGAAAGTAGGGAACTGAGAATCCTAGGTTTGCAAAACTATTGCACGAAGGTTAACCAGCAACAGTTTAGTGTAATTTAGTTTCAACTTTGCAACTCACTCATTCAACAGGACAGATATCTTTGTATTTTAATAAGCTAATTGGCATTTGAAATATTCAAAAGCAATTTTTACAAATCGATTTTTCCAACAGGATAAATTGAGTTGTTATTTTACAGATGCAACCAGACAGTTTACCTTTGAATTCCAAGAAATAAAATTGCTATGGCTGGCTTACATCTAGTTTACAAGCAAGTAAAGCACAGGTTACGGTTTGAAAACATCATGGAAAATTTGTATCATGATTATCCAAAATGAATCCAACCTCAAGATTTGTATCCACTCTGATGCAATTCATGCGACAAGTATTAGAATTAACTGGTTGAGATATTTTGTTTGACCACAAAATAATGGTGGATTATGTCGGTGGTCCCACAGAAGATAAGCAATTTGTTTTGTTTGGTAGCACCTAAAGTAGAAAGGCTCAGACTAAACATTTGGCGAGCTCAATACCTGGAAACCAATGCAAATTTACAGCGCTAAAACATAAAGGAGTCGATTATGAACATTGGAATACAAGTAACCCCTTCCACACTGACAGCAGCCAGCAGTTGAAAGTTAGCGTACAAACACACGGGATTCACTGGCAAAGCCACCGCTATCAAACACACAAAGTGTGTGAATTCTCCTGGAACCTTATACCCCGGTAACACTAATTACTTGGCTGGCAACAGCTTATGCCAAACCGATAACTTAATTGGCCACTGTTAAGCATTCCGAGACACGAAGCGCTTTATAAAATGAAAGCTGTTGTGGTTTACGTTTTCCGTTAATCTAACCCCAATCTCTGTTCTTTTAAGGCATCAGCCTGGCTCAGTCAGCAGCACCTTTTGCCTCCGAGACAGAACGTTGCGGGCTCGAGTCGCGCTGAAAAAAAAAAACTTCACAGCTGTTTCGCTGGTGCTTTTTCATCTGCAAACCGGCTTGCCACGTCCACCTACGCAAATCCGCTGTGATGGGAGTTTCGAGAGGTTTTGACGGTGTGATAATAATAATAATGTAATAATCCTCGCGTTTGATAGAAGACCTTATCACGTCTTCGACACGTCTCAAAGCGCTTCACGAGGCATAAGAGCGATACAAGATATGGAGCGAAGTGTGTTTTGTGGGTGAAACGCGGCAGCCGATTGTGTACAGCAACTGATAATTGTGACAAGGCGCTGTGTCAAACGCGAGACTTATTATATTATCCATCCTTCAAGATGAGTCGTAAAGCCAAGGTCCCGTCTGCTTGTTTAGGGGGACTTTAAAGATCCCACGGCACTATTCCTCAAGGGGGAAGGGAGCTTCTCCCGGAGTCTTGGCCGATAATCAACCCCCCCACCACCCCCCGAAATAAAATAATGTCCATTCGCTTTAACAGCTGCTTGCGGGACGGCGCTGTGCGCAAACTGACCTGCCGCGTGTCCCTTCAGACAACACACAGCCACTACTCCGCAGTCAGCGCAACCTGTGAAGCGCTTCGAGGCGTCTCGACGACGTGACACGAGGCTCTGTATCTGAGGCAAGGATTATTATTATTATTATTAATACATTATCAACAATAATAAGGGCTCAGTTGGCATTAGACTAAACCCAGTTGCTGCCCTGACAGGGTCACAGCTGTGTGTGTGTGTGTGTGTGTGTGTGGCTCAGCCTGGACCACAGGAGAGAGAGGCTGGACAGCCTCAGCAGGAGCCCTCGGCACAGCTCACCCCGCGACCGACCGACCGACCGACCTCACCCCGGGCTGTAACTCACGGGTTGTCGCGGTCCGGCCCGCGGCCCTGGCAGTCGATGGGGTTCAGCTCGTCCTGGGGGAAGGCGTGCCGCATGTAGTTCTCGTAGCCGAAGTAGAACATGTCGAGGGCGGCCTCCCTCATGCGGCGGCGCTGCGGCTCGGGGAACGAGCCGTACCTGCGGCCGTACTCGCTCGAGCCGTCCAAGAAGTTGTAGCCGGGGCCCGGGGCCTGCTCCTCGGCCTGAGCCCGAGGCTGGGTGGGGGGCCTCCGCTGACACACCGCCGCCGCCGCCGACCCTCTCCGCGTCCGAGCGCGGCTCCAGTTCTGGTCGAACCACGACGGCTTGTTACCTGAGGAGGCCTCGGCCGGGGCCCGGGCCCGGGCCTCCCGTACCTCACCCAGCCCCAGGCTCTGGTAGAAGCCCAGGCTGGGCCCAAAGCCCAACAGCAGCCAGACGGTCAGGTTCAGGCCCAGCCTAAGCAGCAGGAGGCCCAGCACGATCGAGCGCCATTGCATTATCTCTGGCAGGAGGAGGAGGAGGAGGCGGCGGCGACCCGATCCCTCGCCCTCTCCCTCATCTTCATCTCCGGCAGCGAACGAGCCCCGACGACGACCGTTTCTCCCGCCCGCCCCCTTCCCGCCCTGAGGCGACGTCGCGCACGTTGATTGGTCCACGTCTACCTCGCTTCCGCTCGCCTATTGGCTTACCCCGCTGTCCGTTACCCGAAAACACCCGCCCCCCTCCTCCATCCGCTGGTCCGCGCTTGCCCAGATCCCGCTCGCCTATTGGTTCGTCCTGCTGTCGTGTCACCACCCCCCGCCCCCGACCGCCCCGGCTGACGCTGATTGGCTCTGCTCGAGTCGTCAATCTTCGGCCGCAGCACCCGATTGGCTGTTAAATCCTCCATGGAGGGCCGACCCCGCCCCCTCCCGCTTGCCCGCCCTCCTATTCGCTGCGCTCGCCGTCGGTCGCCGGGACTTGAGCACGTGGCACACACGAAGGGGGGCGGGACTTACGGGAGGTCACACGTGACAGCCCGGACAGGTGCTGCTGCCAATGCCCAATGGCTTCTGCAACACATCAGCTGTGAACACAGGAGTCCCTGAGGCTGATCCACAGCACTCACCTCTGTGGCTCAGGCAGACCTCGCAACCAACCTGATCCAGGCTCTTTGCAAAAAAAAAAAAAAAAAAAGTTTTAATTGAATCAGACCCACACCAGCACTTTTAGCTGAATAACCCCAAAACCGATACGACTACCGCGTTTGATTGCATTTGGTATATTTTTGCGTTTCGACACAGCGCCTCTCATCGCGACACCGTGAAGGGCGCTGCGGAACGCGCGGCAAAGCCAACGGAGCCTTTGTGGGCAAAAGCGTGCAAGCGATTCGCACTGGCTTGAAGCCGCCGCCGCCGCGGGAGGTGAAGCACCTCCCAACCACCGTATCTGCGGACTGCAGTAATAATAATAATAATACTCGCATTTGATATAGCGCTTTTCACGTCGGAAGGACGTCCCAAAGCGCTTCACAGAACACACTGTAAAGTGAATTGACTGTATATTTGTGGGCGAACGCGGCAGCCAATTGCGCACAGCAATGTCCCACAAACAGTCGTAGATTGAAAATGACCAATTTAATTATTGTTTTGGGTTTTGGAGGGTTTATTATTAGGCTCTGTGTGGAGTAAGGAAACTTGCCCAAGGTTTCGCCCTCTGTCTGGAATTGAACTCAGCTCTCTCGCTTGCAAAGCGAGTGCTCTAACCACTGAGCTACAGGACTCCACCAAAGCATCCAAGACACCCGGATAAATGAACAAACTGGACAGTTTATTATTGAATACTATTTTCTTACAATAGCCAAGAGATTGATCTTTTTGAAACGGAGGTGGGAATTAAATGCTGCGGATTAAATATACAGTAACAAGGAGGCAGAATTCAAAAGACAAAAACATTCTCCCTTTCCTCTCTTCTCCCTCACTTTTTTTAAAAAAAAGAAAGTTTGTCGACAACGGAAAAGCTCCCTTCGATTTGCATTTTAGGCAGAGGTTCGAACAACTTCATTAAGATTACATACATTTGATGATATTGCAGTAAGAGCTGTACCATACATTGTGTGTAGTTGCTAAGAATTCATGGATAACAAGAGTACACTTTGCTACAATGCAAGACTGCCAGTTTTACAGTTTGGATTAATACTTTGCAATTGATATCACGTTGTCGTAACATCTCAAAGCAATTCACGTAATTTGCTGTGCGGCGATTATTTGGTGGATTTAAATCGAGTTGGGGTGGTGGGGGCGGAAAAAGAAGGAAGATCAAAATTAAGAGATTTTCACAGCAACAATATGTCCTGTTTATTTCAATAGCTGGAAGTCTCTCTGCTGGCTCTCTATACTCCAGTCATCGTTTGGTTAATTTACATTTCAGTCCACCAGATTAGCAATAGCCGTTAAATGCAGTACACTTATAACGCAGCAAAGACAGACAAAAAGTAAACTCTTTGGCATCTGAAAACAAAGAAAAAAAAAAACTGAATTTTTAAATCAATTAAATCTTCTTGGAAGTTCACAAAAAAAAATTGTCACACTCTGAACGCGTGTCTTTAAAGGCGCTGCCTTCCGGAGGACACTGACCTTTCAGCAACTTTACCTGAATTTAAAAGGAATTTTCCCTCACCCCTTGAATCGCAACAGAAACAGGATTAGGACACACAGATGTCAATTTCTGAAGATACACGTGTTCTCTGGAGTATCAGGTTTTCAAATTGCTTGTACGCACAGCAACTGGACTTTTACATGCAGTCAAAATCTGTAAACCATGGCTGTGAAATACCACGTGATGACAATATGCCCTCATTACCTTTAATTTCAGAAGTGGGAGAAGAGAGCACATTTAAAGTCAAAACTCAATAGAAAAGTAAACCAATTCCACATATTCTTATTTACAAATCTTATAATTATGAAGCTTTGCATGCACATGTTTACAGTGGGTCACACATTGCCAGATAGTGTCAAGACTCTTGATGTTGAAGCAGTGTATTCAATCAGCACACAAAATGCATAACATCAGTGAAAGCAAGTTAAATAAACCAAGAAGATGATCCCCAGCTACAACATACACAACCTTCTGCTACTTGAATTATATTTGCAAAAGCCCATTGCTAAACAAAATACCGTATTAACAGTGGACATTAAAAAATTTCTACAAGTGACAGTGAAATATCTACAGCACCAACACGAACACGAGGTGCAATGCAACATGCTCCATAACCCCATTTTGCAAGGACATAAATGGCCTGACAGATTAATAAAAGCTAAAAAACAGGTTACTTGTGATACTGCGGACTCCCAACACAGTTGAAGCGAAGAAATAAGCATGATTGGTTTTGTTGGCTCGTTCTTGTGCTTTTACATCACTGCCTTCAACATTCGTCTCACAATCATGATTTTTTTTTTACATTATGGCATTCGCAAAGCAGGTTTAGTCTCTAATGATGAGAAGCACACTCGAGTGGCCTACATCATGAGGGACTTTGAAGTATTTCAATATATTCAGAATAACGTATTTCTGTTGCTATCCCATGGATGAAGAACAAAGTAAATGGAGTAAGGACTGTGGCTGATCACTCATGGGCTTTACACCATTAAATTTCAGCTTCTTCTGGATTTTGAGTGCTGAATAAGCCACTGCAGTGTGATATCTGAGGTAAGAAATACAAGTTAATCATTTCCATCACAGTTTAGTGGCTAGATTTGTGATTCTAAAAATACAATAGTTGAAAACACACAAACTGCCCGTTGCTAAACTAATTTCTATTGGCAGGAAATTGGGGCTGGGGGGGGGGGGGAAGGGGAGAGAGGAGGAAAAGAGAAAGACGAGGTGTAGAAAAGGCATTGGTGCTGTATAGTCAGAGTTTGAGTACAACAGAATGAGGAAAGGGAGAAGTCAAATACACTCTACCCAGTTAAACAGTAAAATAAAATGGACTAGAACTATCAGTAAAGCTGTTGTCATCCATCACAAAACACAGTATGGAACGCTTCACTTGTACATTGTACGTGGAAATTAATCAAATAAGGTGCAGGCAGCATTTGAGTTGAGCACTATGTCACAGAAGTGGGCACTCAATCCAATGGACTGTGAAGGGAATAATTTGCAGGTTTACATAAAGGGCACAAACATACATTAACTCAGCAGTTAGTTTTACTCGGGTGTTGTGGACCTTACAGTTAAGAGAAATAACCATTCAAGACATACAAAGTCCTGATAAAGACACTCATTCTGTGGATGCCTCAGGTGTTCAAGGACTAAAAGGACAAATCAGCACAATGTGGGAGTGCCAACAAAGTTGGACAACATCCACAATGTTTCCTTACCTATGTTGTCTTTTTCTTTGCAAGAAATTGAGTAGCAGCAGATTTCTCGGTCCTGGATAGCAGCCAAATTCCTGCAATATTCAAAAGGCATCGACAAAAAAACTGAACCAATGTAGATAATTTATTTGGACAAAGAAACTCAGACATTTTACACTGATTTTCTGTAACTCTGAAAGGTGCAAATTGAGGACATATGGATTGACTGATGCTACATTTCGGTTATGCAGCATCTTCAACCAACCCCTGTAGCCATTACACACAGAAAATGACGAATATACAAATCGAATTACAAGCAACATTTGCTTAGGTCACTGATAAAGAAACGGGCCAGAATGATCCGAAATTCAATTACTAATTTATGTGGAGTACAATGATCTCACGCAGGAGAGTGTACCCTAAGCTTGGAGAGGCCTGAGCTCCATCTCCTAACCCCCACTCCTCCCCTGCTTTCTATAATATTGAACAGCTCAGTTAATCCCCCCCACTCCCCCAAACACACACACACACACCTTAACCTATCAGCACCAATGACTATTCCCTCACCTTATCACTACTGTTTTGGATATAAAGGAGCAGAAATAAAAATCGCTTACATTTTTTCAATGAGCTGTTTTTCATCCAGAGCATTGGTTAGATCTCTCTTATTTCCGAGAACTAGGACCTGGAATGGCAAATTAAATTCAATCACAACCAGTGGATATGGATTTATGTCCTAAAAAGATAGCATTTCATTGATCACAACAAAATCCCAAACAAGCCAAGGAAATTAATACAAACTCAAGCCTGATGGGAACAATTTAATGATAGGTTAGAACAGAAGAAAATTACAATACACAAGAACAGGTTCTAACAACCACATTGTGAACAGTCTTCCATTTCTGTCTCACTGTCTTCTACTCTTATCTATGTATTATCTGACACTTAGAAGTGTTTATGTAGAGATTAGTTTGAAGCTGTACTTTGGGTTTCCTGTAACGGTAGCTAGCTCTGCTAGTAGCTTCTGCTGCAGCTGTTCAATGTTGTGTGAAATGTTTTGAGATGTCCTTCTGACTTGAAAGGCACTATACAAATGTAAATTGCCTTCATTGAACAAACTGCTTTACTCTCAAGGTTGCGAAGTTTATAGTCAACCTCACAGACCTACGATGCTAATCCTCAAAACAGGGAAAACCGCACCACATGCAAAGGGAGGAAGGAAAAGACAGGGATGAAGCATTATTCCTCAGAAGAGATTACATTGGACATATTCCCAGGGACAGTTTTGGCAAATGGAACGCAGAATTCGCAGCACAGTTGGGCCGGGAACTTAAAACACAGTAAAGGCACGTCAAGAACCCTGGTTGGCCAAAAACACCAGTGCATTTTTCACAGCCATGAGGATTTGACCGGCCCTCCCTGAAGATGGTAAATATACCTTAAAAAAAAGCCACTAACTCCAGCAATTGATGCTGCACAGATGTGGATTGAACAATTCAGGCCTTTAACTAAACACCAGTAGTCCAAAAACTAGGAAACCGCACCCCCTACTGTTCGGTGTGGGGTACTGCAGCCACGGCAGGATTCACAACAACAACAACATTATATTTGTATAGCGCCTTTCACATCGGGAGGACGTCCCAAGGCGCTGATTCAACATAACAATAGTTTATTACATTCGTGGCCTATTAAACTGACCCGACCAAATTACTCCCAACGTGGGCAGAAATGGCTCGGTCTGTTAAAACAACACCAACGGACACAGAACAATGGTATCAAACATTAAATTCAATCTTCTCCATTAATTTTAATGAATGAATTGTACTTTTGATCAATCAGCTGACTGTGCGGTAAACTCAAGTACATTACGTGCAATCTGATCTGCACTGCACAATTTTATGCAGCAAGCTTTTGTGCACATTTATGGATTTTCACGCCCAACAAATAGTCAGCTGTCTAAATAAAAACAGTGTCACAAGGCAAAACCAAATAGGGAGCTTTAAAGTTAGGGACTAATTGAATGTATCCTGGGATGGGGAGGTCTGCGTGTGCACTAGTTCAGTCCAGAACAGCATCACCCTTCTTCAGCTGGAGAATCACTTGTAATTGGGATGATTATCCGAGCTCATCTTTTCATGTGATGTAGCTCACAATAATAATAATAACCTAACCTTGACCAAGGCTTCAGTAGGTCTATAGGCACTAAAATAGCTCTACAAAAAATGGGCAAAACATCTAAATTACCTGTGGTGGGAAGGAGGAATGTGTGCAAATATTATCTTCCTCTTAGTGAAATGATCTCACCATTACAGGGAGATTAGAATTTAGCTTCTTAAGTCAGTTTGATACTATTCTCAAAGCGAAAAGCTTTTTGCTAAGTCATTACAGGAACCAGTAAGTTCACCTACAATTTTCTGAAAGACAAGTAACAAGCTTTAACAGAGCAGCAATAAGATTAGGAGGTACTCACAGGGATTCCTTGCAACTGTGGTTTGTCTAACAGGTTGTGAAGCTCGTTCCTAGATGCCTCGATTTTATCACGGTCAGCAGCATCCACCATGTACCTTAAAATTAAAAATGATTGCCATTGTAAGCAGCGTGCAAGCAAATTAATATCAGCTTCTGTACCACAATCCAATCCTCCAGTCAAAATAGCTAGCAACCAGCCAGGCTTCTGTTATTCTTACTTGAAGCATGGAAAGTGGCCAAGTTGATTCGATTTGTTGAGGATGAAAATCCTCAAACCTTCTCCCTCACCTCCCCACATTCTGGTCAAGCAAAGGATGCAAACGTGTCCCACTATTCTCCCTCACAACACATTAATGCCATTTTTAATAACGTTGCTGTTTGTGTTGCTATTCATATTGGTGTTCGTTGTTGAGTCAAAAAGCAGAGAACAGTAACAAACCCACAATATAAAGAATCGATTTACATTAAGCAGCATGAACCCATGAATAAATGATAAAGTACACGCAGGAGGGAGAGAGCCAGTAATGAGAACAGAAGGCCAAAGCTTGTGGGATTGGTATTCTCTCTAAACCGTGAAGGGCAGAACAGCAAGACGCACTTACACAACAGCATTGACCCCTCGGCAGTATCGTTCCCACATACTTCGAAACCTTGGCTGTCCACCGATGTCCCAAATCTTTAAAAGAAGGATTTAAAATTCATGAGCTGAAATAAAAACCCATACAATTCCTCCGACAATCAGCATTGATGCCACAGCATGCATACTGGTGTCGAATCAGAAAATTGTACGAAAGCCCAAAGGGGTATTCAAAGATGACCAAATAACCAATGGCCCAAGATGTCAGCTTGACTCAGTTGATAGCACTCCTGACTCTGGGTCACTAGGTGTGGATTCAAGTCCCACATCAGGCACTTTGAACTCAATCAAAGCGGACACTCTAATGTTTGATAAAATGTGGGACATGCTGTCTTTATATAATAATAAACTGAGATGATATTAAACCAAAGTTTTATCTGCTTGTCCTATTGAATATTAAAAATCCTGTGGCATGGTTCGGAAAGAGGAGAGGTTTTTCCTATCACCCCGGCCAACCTCGAGATAACCTTGGATATTCATTCCATGGCTGTTTGCGGAACATTGCAAATTGTCTCACTGATCAAACAGTCACTACGTTCAGCAGAACCATTGTGAAATGCTGTGAAGGGCTTTATGAATTGCAAGGACGATTACTAAAGAGGTTTTTCTAAAGCAGGTGGGTTGGTAATTGTGACAGCAACTGTTTTATCAAAAACATATTCAGGAATAAGTGTCATTACTGAAAATAACTCAATGGCTTGAATAGCAACTGCTCACAAAAATGTTACTTCCAATACATTTAAAGCCCCCCCCCCAAAATAATTTGATAAAATTACTATCCTCTTTACATCACAACTGTGACAGTGCCTGAATATTAAACAGGATTACCGGACGCAAGTATTTTCCTCACCAGTTTCATAACCTACCTTTATTGTTACGTTGCCTTTGGTGACCTTCCTCATATTGAAGCCAACTGTCGGAATCATATCTTCGCTGAACTGACCCGACTAGAAATCAAGAAAAAAAAGCTGAATGAAACATCGATATCCAATAAGACGGCATTGGTTTTAAATCGGATTCGACCCTCAAATAAGTAGGAAGATATTGCAGTATAGAATACAACCATTGTCAAATGTTCAACTAATTTGTGTGGGAAAGGCATTGAATATAAGCAAGGTGACATTGCTTCAATTTGCATCTGTGTGCGACCAATATCCTGAATTATTCTTCCATTCTCCCCCCCCCCCCCCACCCCTCTTCTCTCTCCCAAATACTTATGTCCAACGTTCCTTGTCACTGAATAAATGCTTTGAGCAGTTTTCCACTCGAGGTTATCCTACGTTTAAACATTTTAAATTTTTCAATGCGGGAAAATTGCTCAACTGCAGATATCTGAATGTCACTTGGTATTTTTGCAGCGGCAACAATTACTACACACACGCACGCACTCACGCACACACACGTTGCAGTTTTACTGGATTAAAAGAGGAAATGCAGAAGCTGTCACAAATAAATTCAACACGCCCAGTACTGTAGGGACAAAACGACACGAGTTTTATACAAGACGCCACCTCAATTGAACAGTGCCTCACCGAAATGCTCATTCACGTAAACTTCCAACAGTGACGGTTACAGGCTATTCAACCTCAGGGCAGACGAATTCTGCTGCGATCAGAAGGTGGGGCATTTGGTTTCCCCTCCGTGACACAGGGTGGCAAAGTCTATTGCAGTCAGCCAACTGCAGCCCTGGCTTCCTACCAACTGGGCTATCGGGGGAGCCGGGACATGCAAGTGGATATGTCACTCGTGGTGCAATTGGAATATTTGATTTTAGTAGCAATGACTTTGCTCTCCTTCCTATTAGCTTTGACCAAATTAAGCTTCACGCAGCCAAAATACTAGCGTCAGATTTCTGGCCGGTCAGTTTCGCTGCACCGTTACAACGCCAGGCCAGAAATTTAAAAAAAAAGCAGACCAAAGCACATTGGCGACTCAAAATACGGTAAAAGTGGCTCAGGCAAGCGGAAGCGAAGGTCAGTGGACTCGAGGAAGCCACTTACTGCTGATTCCAACTGCAGGATTGTAGTAATGTTTCAAAAGGCAGCGCAATATGAAAAGATTCGGCTATTCGGACTTTTAAAAACGGGCAAAGTTCTACTAATTGCAAAGCAATGCTGTCAAACAGGACCGGGCATTGAGTCACAAGCCCGTCTGAAACACTCGCCAGATCAGCTGATTTGAGGCGTAAGTGGAAGTGAGTGGTTTTGTCTTGTGACTCGAGATTCTGTGGCTACACACTGGTCAGAAGCGGTTTTGCATTTGCACGGATAATATCTCGCGTACCGGGGAGTGCAGTTGTCTCCATTCGCGTCTGATATTTTCAGCACAGCACAGTCGCTCAGCTTCCAACTCAAACACGGGGTTGTAACTTTTAGCATTCACGTGTGAAACTTCATCAAATCTACACGGAAAACAAACTTTGCCACTAGTTTCTCCCCCTTTCCCCCCCCCCCCCACCCAATCCCCCACCACTGCCAGATAGCACGTGGCCACAGGGTGAACAGTCGCAGGTAAGGAAGGAGAAGATAGCCAGGGTTCCTAGTCCCGATCGTCATTCAGTTCTGCTGAACCGCTAACCCACACCGCACTTACAATTCAATTTTATAAAGGCAGCAATAGATAAAAGTCACAAATTCATTGAGAAGCAAAATTGTTTTTGACCCAGGACAACAGCCTCATTCTTGCCGTTTAATAGTAAAAAAAAGTTAGCTCAAAACATGCCGTTACGACCACATTCTGGCCAACAATTCCTCAAATAAAAATTGCTTGGTGACTGTTTGTGGGGCATTGCTATGCGCAATTCCGCTACCACATTTGCCTACAATAGTTACACCATTCCACCAGGAAGCACTTCGAAACGGCCTTCTGAAGTGAAAGGCACTAGACCAAATGCAACGAATATTATTATTCACTTCCTAAAAGTGAAGCCAGTGTGTCGTACTACAGACTAGCAAATCAAATCACAAGGTTTCGTGAGCTTGCATTGAAGAATTTATCGTCAGCCACCTTATTAAAATGTCACCAGTAATACACACGAAGAGTGATCGACTGTATAAATTAGACGATTTAACATACGTGAATACTGTAAGTTATAACTCCGGGTTTGAGTTGGTAGCTGAAAGACAAGTTGATCATACCTAAAAAGGAATGGGGGTCGGGGCGGCGAGAAAATGTCAGTTAAATGGGACTGAAAGGATCGCTTCTTTAAAAGAGCCGGCACAGGCCCGACGTGCTGAGTTCTTCTGCTACGCTGTAAATGTCTATGGTTCTAACGGAATAGAAATGTTTGATTCCCTTCCTCTTTCACATCTCTATTTGAAACTCTGCATCTGACCCAGGCTAAAAATGAGTTCTCAGGCACCAATTAAGTCACTGGGCGAGGTCACAGCTTTTCTCCTTGCTTTCAGAGACTCGAACTGGACTGAGCACAACTTATAGCGCAAGCCCAGCTTGACGGATGTGATAAGGCGCTATATGAAATGCAAGGATTATTATTATCTGCAAGGGTTCTTCATTTTGCACATAGCCTAAAGAATCCTGCGGCCGATTTCGCCAGATGGCTGCCTCAGATGGTAGTATTCCCCACTCTCGTTGTGTTTGAAGCCCCATATAAGGATTGAGCTCAGTCTAATATCACACTCCAGTGTAGTACTGCATTGTCAATACGTCCTTTCCCTTAGACAAGCTATTAAATCAAAGTAATGCCTGCTTGTTCTTCAGGGGGATATTAAAGATCCCATAGCATTTTTCGAAAAGAGACAGGAGTTTCGCTCGGTGTCCTAGCCAACAATCCTCGACTGTGGAGACTGGGTGCAAACTGTTTATATAAAAACAAAATGCTGTAAAAGTGCTTTAACAATAATAATAATCCTTGTATTTGATATAGCACCTTATTACGACGTCTCAAAGCACTTCACAAAAGATACTGTAAAGTGAATTGACTGAATTTTGCAGGCTTTGAGACTTTGCGACAAAGTGCAATAAACATACAAATCTTAAAACACAGTATTTCGCCCACAAATATACAGTCAATTCACTTTACAGTGTGTTCTGTGAAGCGCTTTGGGACGTCCTCCCGACGTGAAAAGCGCTATATCAAATGCAAGGATTATTATTATTATTTTACAGTGCAGTGTTAATACCACAGGGAATATCTGTGCCCAAAACACCTGTGGCCTTCGTAGGAAGTCCACAGTTTCCCCAATTGGCTTCCAAGTAATCTGCTCAAAGACAGGGAAGCAAAAGCAGAATAAGACCTCAGATTCCTTAGTTTCATTTAATATTTTTGCTCCAAAACCCACTAGAATTACTCGTGTCTATTTTCTGCCCGATAATCCAGCTGCCTCATCCTATGTTGGCCACACAGTGCCCTGCACTTACTATTCTACACAACCCAAAGGCAATGGCATCCCAAGTAAGGTTGCTAACTTTCACCCGAGCATTTGAATTTTCCATAAATGTTCAGGTTCTCCTAAAAACTTATTCCTTTAATTCAAGGTCTTGAAACGTTTATTTTAAAACAGTAACATAGCATAATCCTCCTGGCCTGTCTCCTCACCTATACTTGCTGACTTTGGAGATGCAAAAGCGATCTGCTGATGATTCAAATGGATGCTCACTCTCTGCGAACAAAAGACTCTTTCAAAGCAAATGCAAACATGTTTGGGCAACTTCAGATCATAAGAAAACCTCTCTCGTCTTGGATCCATTTTTCATAATTTATAGTTGAAACTACCCAGTCTCAACTAGTATCTTCCGACAAAGGGTCGTGGACCCGAAACGTTGACTCACTTTCCTTTCTCCATAGATGCTGCTTGACCTGCTGAGTTTTCCTAGTTCTCTCTGTTTTTGTTTCAGATTCCAGCATCTGCAGTATTTTGTTCAACTAGTATCTTGTTCTATTGAAGAAAGAACTTTCATTTCCACAGTGCCTATAAATTCAAAACAACAACTTGGATTTATACAGCGCCCTCCTCGCCGGACGGCATCTCAGAGCGCTTCACAGCAACGGATCCCGGGACCGAGTCAGGGGGAGGAAGGTGACCAAAGGCGCGATTGAAAAGAAAGACCTTCAGCAGAGACCTGAAAATAGGAAGGGAAGGAGTGAGGCCAAGGGAGTTCCAGAGCCTCGGGGCGTAGTGGCTGAAGGCACGGCCGACGAGGGCGGAGCGGAGGACTCGGAGGAGGCCAGACCCAGAGGAACGAAGGCAACAGGTACTGTTTTGAGGAGAGAGGAGGTCAGAGAGGTAGGGGGTGCAGAGACTTGAATACAAGGGTGAGGATCTTGAAATCGATCCTCTCTGGGATAGGCAGCCAGTGCTGGGACTGGGGTGATCGGGGAGCGGAGTTTCGTGCGGGTGAGAATGCGGGCGGCAGCGTTTTGAATGATTTGGATTTTATGGATGGTAGTGGATGGGAAACCGGTGAGGCGGGCGTTGGAGTAGTCCAGCCGAGAGGTGTCAAAGGCATGGACCAGGGTTTCAGTGGCTTTTGGAGTGAGGTATTGGCGGAGACGGGCGATGCGTCAGAGGTGGAAGAAAGCGGTGCTGGTGAGGGACATCTCAAAGCACTTCACAGGAATTCTTTTAAACTCCGGCCCTTTTTGAAAACAGAAAAAATCATAGAATGGAAGATTGGCTCAAGTTCTTCAGCTAATTGTATCGTGTCATGAGCAGCAATTTAAGAGTTACTCCCCGAAGAGCAATTTGTGAATAATCAAATCATAGCATTTAGGAGAAATCAAGCAAATTGAAAAATGAAGCATTTGAGCCAGGGACAGGCTGAATGAAGCCATGTAATTTGGTACTGAACGGCAGCCTCAACTTTTGGGTCACTGGGACTGAGTATCAAGACTCCAGCTGACCTTAGATACACTCGGAGAACGACCTGCCTTACGAAGAAAAAAAACTGCTGCATGGGAAACAAGGCAGACAGGTCACCAGTGTCT